GCTCTCCTCCCCACTGAGAGCTGGTGTGTGGGGAGTGTACTGGTGCACTCTGCTCTCCTCCCCACTGAGAGCTGGTGTGTGGGGAGTGTACTGGTACACTCTGGCTGCTGTCACATCATCCAGGTGGGGCTGCACACTGGTGGTGGTGGAGGGGATCCCCATTACCTGTAAAGAGCTTTGAGTGGAGTGTCCAGAAAAGAGCTAAACTGTATAAGTATAAGGAATTATTACTATTATAATTGTTGTTGTTAAAAATGGGGATTAATAGAATGCTAATCACAGCTCCACCGTGCCGCCCTCCTTAGCTACTTTTTAATCTTGACTGGCTGCAGTTAAAAGGTCATGTAAAGCTGTAACATTTTGTTTAATAATTACAGATGAGTAAATTGCTTGTTAACGGACCTTAACATATTAGATGCGATATTCATCATAGAGATTAAATCAAACAATTAATTAATTAATGTTGTGGAATCCATTTGCTCAATATTCCCAATACTCTGTTTATACTCTGTATTCTATTTATACTAGTGAAAGGGAAAACGTGTATCATGTAACATTAAGAAAGTCAAAATGAGAATGTTTCTGTTTTATCGGCTGGTACGTTCTCATGCAGAGGAATATCTGACCATTGTGATGAAGTCTGGATCATTAATGCCTGAAGCTGCTGTGCTGATGTGGCTGCCCTGCCAGCAGAAGATGTAGTTGTGTATCTTCTATACTGTACATCCTCTCACAGTCGAAACTAAAAGCTCTCCCTGCTTGAACGTCTAGTTTTAGTTATTTCTATTTTAACCAGCAGAGGGCAGTCTGTGCAAACAGGCTAGACCAGGGTGTCTTCTCTCTTTCCATTAACATTTCATTTCATGGCACAGTAGCTTCTTTCCTGCTTGACCAAAAATGTACATTGACATAATTTTCCACAGAAAAAAATAAGTCTTGTAGGCCTAAAGCTTTGTGCTCTACATGACATGTGAAAACACGATTAATATTAAGGTACAGAATTTGTTTATGTTTTCTGTTGCCAACACTTTCGTAGTGGCATAGAAGATAAGATAAGATAATTATTTTATTAGCCATATACAATTTCTTGCATTAGGAATTTGTCTTTTCGCAGACCTCAGCTTGCTCTCCATGAGACACACAGACAGAGAGAAGCTGGGGGTCAGAGCGCAGGGTCAGCCATTTATACAGCACCCCTGGAGCAGTTGGGGTGAAGGGCCTTGCTCAGGAGGATTCCTCTGCTGGCTGTGTGGTTGTGAACCGGCAATCACTCACAGCCCTGAACACCACAGTACACACCCTTACACTGTCCATCACTCACAGCCCTGAACACCACAGTAAACACCCTGACACTGTCCAACACTCACAGTCCTGAACACCATAGTACACACCCTGACACTGTCCATCACTCACAGTCCTGAACACCATAGTACACACCTTGACACTGTCCCTCTCACAGCCCTGGACACCACAGTACACAGTGATGGACAGTATCAGGGTGTGTACTGTGGTGTTCAGGGCTGTCCAGGGATGTCCATCAACTGAAAACAAGGGTTCAAATTTGCCAATTTGATGTCAGAAGGAAACAATCATGTGTTCTGGGGAATGGCAGTTAAACTGTGCTCCTGAATTTGTTTAAGGTTTTGCTGCAGTGATTCTGTGACTGTGAATATTAGTGCCGCACCTGTTAAGCTGCACTATGGCCATTTACAAAAAGCGTTTTAATTGTTATCTTTTATTCCTCCAGGCTAATGGAAGCCTGGTTCTCTCTGTACTCACACTGATCACCCCCGGCTAAATTGTGCTTTCTTCTCAGTGCAGTTCGAACATCGGAACACGCGTATTTAAAACCTGCAGCAGTGACGAAAGTGAGAGGCTGTGCAGCAGGAAGGATAATCACATTGCCAGCTCGCATTGTTGAGGAAATGAGCTTTGTGCTCCGAGGTGCTTTGATTGTATTGATTCTTTTCACGCAGTGCCTTGCAGTTCTGCCTTTTACTGTGAGCTTCGTCTTCCCTTATTACTCTCTTGAATTCTTCAAATAATTGAACAATTATCCGGTTATTTAGCACACGAAGAGCTCAGATGAAGCAGCCCAGATGCTCTTGGTGTTTGGTTGTGTGCACCTCTTAGGATCCTTCTGGCTGTCAGTCGGGATGCCACAAGACAGGAACAGCCTTAAGTCCCAGGTCTGGTCCCAAACTGTAAAGCATTGAGCTCACCCCAAAGTCTCAGAGGCACTGACGCAGTTGACCCTGCGTATTTCTTCAGAGTGAGTCAGGAGTAGAAAGGAACAGAGTGAGATTGAATGTACTGTATGTGGTTGTGCAACCACCCACCAGAGGATGGGGGGGTGTGGAACAAGCATACCCAGCCCTGTTGTTGAACCTGACGCCCGGTGTCATGCAAGAAATGGCATGGATGAGATTCGTGGATCAATATCTGTAACTACTAACTGCCATAGGGACTGCATGGGCCAAAAGGCCTCCTCTTGTTTGTAGCTTTTATCTTTCTCATCTCAAGATCTTAGGACAGGACCTTGTTTGACAGCATGTGTGTTGGACAGGACCCACAGTTCTAGAAGAGGGTGAAGATTTATTCATTAATGACAGTGAATAGTGAATGTACAGTATTTATCGCAGAGAAGCTTTGGAGGGCCTGGTGTACTGGGAGGCACAGAGCTGGATTTGAGAAGCATCTGACTGCATGAGGAAGTGAACATTGGTACTTACCCCTGGCTCAGATGGACACGTACAGATGCCCATTCGTAGGGTCCTGACTGCTCTCCCCTACCGAGGCCTCCAGCCAGTCCTACATCTCTCTGAAGGCCACAGAAAGAATCAGGAGCAGTTACTGTATGTCATTACAGTACATACGTTTCTTATGAATTCAAAAATAACACAGCCTGTAAAACAATAATCAATATTGTAACAGGCATTCACTCTTGGGCGCAGGCCCAGGGATGGTACTAATAGCCTTTTATGGCCTGCTGGAAAGTCTTGGCCTTCAGGTGATGGAGAGCAAAGCTGTC